ATATCAAAGTGGTAGGATAAGGACAAATAAAAGCTAGTGGAGAAGGCCAGTTTAGCCATTGAGGAAAGAAAGTCTAATACAGTTAACATTGGGTGGGAACATCTAGGCCGGCACTCTACATATAGCTTTGGAGCCAGGGATAGTACTGGGATTGTGTGTTTAATAGTAAAATCTGTCCATTTGAATATATAACCGCAATCTGGAGTAATACGTTTGGCGGTGGGTTTCGTTAACCAGACTTAGGTGGGGAGAGACCCTACCGCAAGACTCTACAGTTTTTCTTAAAAGCCGTATCGAAAGAAATCGCGAAAGCCGTATAGTGTGTTAACAGCATTCATTCGAGTACGGTAATGGCCCGTCCTGATAGTGAGTCTTTCAACAGTTTTGTATCGTCCGCGGACCAAAAAATGGGGCAAGTAACCTATAACTAGAAACTGTATTATATACACAGATTAAGGCTAAACCGTTGTTGTCAACTGATTCTGTTAGGTAAAGGGAAGGGGAACAGAGAATCGGGACGAGTTCAAAATTATTCGGGAGGTGTGGATTGGAGGAGCACGAAAAACCGCGAGTCGACCGAGTCTCGAGCGTCGGACAACAGAGACGTGGAGCTATAGTTATAGTAAGGAAGTAAGTTATAAACTTTTATTTTAATTCCGGACGGTAAAAATTTATAACCATTTTAGCTGAAGGAAGCTAATATCATAGAAGGATCCTTCTTGTAATCTCTTGAATATTATATTATATATATAGTTATATAGTATATTACGTTATATATTACGTTACGGGAGAGCGGGTATAGCATGTATATAAAATGGTGTTATATCTATATGTTTATATATCATATGAGCGGATACTATCATATATATTTTACTTTTCTATTATAACTGTACAAATTCTGTCTCTTGTTTTTTTATATATTATCATTCAATACAGTACAACAAGAATGTTAAATAATATTTGAAATTATTCCATTTTAAAATTAGTGAGCGCGATACAATGACAGGAAGGCTTTTAACAACGAGATCAATCTTTCTAGACCTATATAAAATATTGTACGCAGTTGGATATCAGTAGTCACGCATGCCGTGCAGATGTGAGCATGTAATCAGTAAACTAGTAACGTCATCGATGTGTGTCTGTGCTCCCGTCAGTTTGCAGTTCGTTGCTAAGTGGATGCGTTTTCTGTTAGACGTGAGCTGGTTTAGCAACAGGAGACAAATGCTAGGGCGGGTGCGATGTGAAGGCGATAACACGTCTCCCCTACGTGCGTGTGCGTTGCGTGTGCGGTGTGTGTGCGTGTACGTGCATGCGGGTCGTGTGCGTATGTATGTGTGCGCGGCGTGTTGTACTATAGAGTTATAGAACTATTTCGTACACCGACTGCGTTGTTTGAAGATAATATCATACTATATACTATATTATAATTAATACTTACTACTGTCACGGTTACTACCTTAAACGTCGTTATATACCTATAATATATATATATTAAATAATATATATATATATATTAGTACTATATCTCCATCCTACGCACGTTATTCAATATCTTACATCGCATTTACAGTTAATAATAATAAGCACGATTGCTTGAATTCGTAAAACATAAACGAGTAACAAGTAAATAAATATGCGCGTCCGCATAGCTTGATTAACTATAAGCGCTATGCATTGCTTCCAGTCTCTTGCTGCGCCAGGCCCATCTTCGCGGCGACTCTTAGCAAGTAACCGTTCGAGGCTGCCGCGCGCCACGAACACAGCGTGTCAAAGTATGATCATCGTAATACCGTTAAGTTTCCCCTTCACCCGCGCCGTCTGTCCGTTCGCGAGCTGTTTCATTTGTCGAGGATGATAATTATATATTATAATAGGAGAAAGCTTAGACGTGGCGAATGAGATGCCGATTGGACGGCGGGTGAGAGTATAAACACACCTCGTATTATACTGAAGTAGAATATTGAAATATATAAAACTATGGTGGTGGTGGTGTTGGGGGGGTCAGTGTATACATAGATTTATAGTATGCCCAGAAAAACAGCTAAACCGCGGGAGCACGCCGTAGTTAAGGTGCGTGAGGCGTTTCCACGTTGGTCCAAACGAGATCCAAGTTAATAGTCATCGATTCCAGCTTCTGTGCCTATTTAGTGCAGCGCGTGCATCTAGTTTAGTATGTATGATGTTAGAGAATCTGTAAATCTATGTGCTGTGTATAGCTAAGAATAAACAAGGGAAAAAAAAGAAAAAAGAAATAAGAAAAAGGCGTTTGGTCTTAGCAGTGGCGCACATGTTTATTAATGTGCTCTCAGACTGTTTTGCCTGTGCAGAAGCACGCCCTCATGGTGCGTCGCATGTGTGTCGGCTGTCGTGTGTGTGTCGATGTGTGTACCTGCCTGTGTGTAGTGCGTGTCTACTAGATGTCAAACTGTCGAATGTTTAAGTGAGTAGGTAGGTGTGTTTGTGGTGTGTGGCTGTGCTGTGTGTGTGGACTGTGTGTGTGTGATGTGTTGTTCTAGCCGTGATGTATGTAAACGTGTTCCATGTCCCTTTAGTAAATGCTGAAGATACAGTGGTAGCTGTGTATTAACGTCACTATTTCATAGTTTTGAATGCCTTTATATATGCCCATCTAACTTGCTGCTGAATTCCGTAATAACGTGCGACTCAGTCCTAGCGTGATGGCTAGCAGGCTATATTAGTGTCTGACATAAGTCTTTCAATTTCTTGTACTAAATCTGCAGTCTGTGCCCCCTATTGAAGCGATGAACTCCCCTGTTTAGTACACGGGTGTGAGTAATATGGGTTGGGGTATAATAGCGATCTCCGACCCCCGTTAGGGTTTGCTGTCTCTTAACATTTGCCGTAAATTGTCAGGGAGGGGGGACTCGGCCTCCAGTCTCTACTAAAACATAAAATATCGACCCGACAGCCCTCGAATTGAGAAAACAAATACAGACACTGCACACGTCAAACATGTGCGCCTCATCACCTCTAATAGTAGGGGCGAGATCCACCGCGTTCACCACCTTGAAACGAAGTCGCACTGTCAGGCGCTAATTAAATGATAATTGGAGACGATGGGCGAGAACCCTACTAAATCATTTAAGTTTACTGCCAACGGGCCCGTGTAGCAGGGGGTCCACGACGCAGCGCCCACGTCATGTGTCATGCGCGCGCTTGTATACGTGAACTGACTACCGGATTACAGATTCAATAATCCTGCTATGTAACATCTGCCACAGACGCATGCGCGTTCCATTCCGTCGCAGTCGCGACATCGTCCATTTCTCAGTCCCGTGCCAACGCGTGGGTTTTCCCCCTGGCCCACCGACTCGTCGAATGCTACGTCAATCACGATCATCCTCCGCTTGTAATACTATGTATATATCGTACTTAGCAGAAATCATCAATTAC